GGAGAGGGGTCGGCCGGACATAAGGCGCCCCTAGGGAGGCATTCGGAGCCTGGAAGGTGGTCGGGCGCAGGGAGGTGGGTGGCTCAACGCAGGAGCACCCCCTACTGGCCCGCCTCACGTGGTGGAAACAGCGGAGGGATACGAATACCCAGCTGTGTTCCTGAGGTGGGATCTCTGCACCCGCCACAAAGCCCTCAGAAAAGAACTTACACAATAATTGTGCTAAATCCAAAGCTATTTCCTTGTGTACAGTGCTGAAGATATAGGCCACATACAGGTGTTCTCTTGCCTCCCCCTTCATCCCCTCCCAATGCCATTTCAGCAGGGGAACAGCTGTCACCCACCCACCTGCATGCTTCCTGGTGGAACTGGAAGAGCGCACCAGGCAAGGGCTCTTCTCCCACGGTGGAAACCCTCCTTGGGCTATGGGAGGGTTCCTGCCACAGGGGAACGCCCCTTCCTACCCTTTCAGACAACTAGTTGATTGATGGGACAGGTGGGAGCAGGGGGTGGGAAGCATTCTCCTGAAGCTGGAACCCTCCCAGGACTCAGGAAAGGCTTCAGACACACACCTGCCTCCCTCTGCAACCTTTAAGTCTGATATTACATTCAACCAGGTTTATCTCAAACTGGTTTCAGCGATTTCCAAACAGGTTATGTGCACTGAATGTCTGTTCCGTTATAGGTTTAAACCAGTTTCTGATCACTTGAACTGGTTTGTGTGTAATGCTTGTCCCTAGCCCCTGACAGCTCATCCTTGACAGTTTACCTTTTGCCTACCACCCCTGGGAGTATGCTCTCTTTTTGTGCTTTTCTCCTGGAACAAATGTAATGTCTGTACAGGGCAATAGTGATTTGACCTATTTATTCATAAAATAAAACATAGAAGTTTTATTGTTTGAAAATGCAGCAAAAGAACAACAGTACACATTTTTTAACACAATACTTTCACCTGTATCATCCGAACCAGAAAAAAGGTAGAAAACTAGCCAGTATATCTTGCATTCTTACTCCATGAGATCAATATATGCCAAGGTAGAAATTGTTTTATTAAGAGGCATTAAGCAGCTCCCCAAAAAGAATGGGGAGGGGGGGCATGTTACATATGGAAAGGGAGAAAAGCCTTTGTAGTTTTACATTCTTTTGTAGTATATTTAAGACAGTATTTATTATCTGTATTATCAGTATTTATTTATTAGAGTGTTCTGAAACTGTCATAATACCTTACAGTTGGATGCAAAATATTTGGATACTACAAGATAAATGTAACTGAGTTGTAAAATAGGAACAAACTATATCAAGAATAAGATACATTTCTGGTCGTTTTAAAAATGAAAAAAATGGAATATTTCAAATTGCAGCACCAGAAAAATCTTGCCTAAAGGAAAAATAATAAAAGCAGGCTTTGGAAGTAACATCTAAATTATATGTCTATTCACAAAAACAACCAAATTAAAGTTTTTTATCATGCCTTCTTTCTCTGCTTTATTACATTGTAAACGTTAGGCCTCACACATGAGATAAATCCTCATTCCAACACAGGTCTTGTTATGTGAAGTTACAAAAGTGTTAGAGAAGCAATTAGGAGCTTACTTGAAAAATTGTTCAGCTTCCATGAGGCTGTTTCCACGGTTTTAGAAATGTAGCTTGTTTGAATTGCAACATGCAGCTGCCCTATGGCCAACAGATTAATATAGTAAAAAAATCTAAAGGCAACTCCCTTTTTCCCAGACAGCCATTCTGTTAACACAGAGCGCTGCTCCTGATCATTGTTCTGAGGCATGATTCTCCTTGAAGGTCCCCTCAAGGGCCAGCCATTTCATTTTCTATATGCCACAGACCTGTGCTCTCTCTCCTGCCAATGCAACCTTAGTTATCACACACATTAAAATCTATGCGGATATGATTTGTGTGCTTACACAGAGAGCAGAATACTGTAAAAAATAAAATCAATACAAAATTCCATTATAAGATATCTAGCCCAAATTTTTATTTTCTTATATTTTTTTGTAACTTTAATAGGGGGAAGAAAACACATTATCTACTTACTAATGCATTCAGGTAGAGGCTTATCCCAGTGACCATTTGGTTGGCAGATTAGAACTGAAGATCCAAATAAAAAATATCCTGGGTTGCAATCATAAAACACCACTGTGCCGTAAGTGAAATTTCCATGTTCTATTTTGCTTTCCCGTATGGAATTAGCAGGGATTCCAGGATCAGAGCAGTTGACCACTGTGCAAAAAATAACAAAAGTGGAATTCATATTTAGGTTTTACATACACACACACATTTTTATAAGTATATTTCTTTAAAAATGCCTCAGACGCACAGAGTACATTTAGGTAATATCTCTTCTCCTGAATGAGTAGCTAAGATAGGAACTCAGATGAGGACTTGTGGGTGGAATCTCAGTTTAGATAAGAGAGAGGTGATACAAGTAGGCTGAAACAATCAGAGATGATATCCCTGTTGTCTTTATTAAAGGGGGGTGGTTCTTGATTTGAGATATTTGGTTGGTTCTTTTGGGTCCTTGTCCCCTTTGACTCCCATTTTGGGGGTGTACCTAAAAAAGACTTTTTTTTTCTTGTGCATCTGTGACCTTTTATTTTTGGATGAAGAATTTATCAGACTTTCCCATGTTATTATTGTTACCTCTCAGCTAGCTTGCTTCAGTGCAGTCTATTTAAATCGACCGGTGAAGAACCTTTGAAGTATGTAGTTTCTGAAGAATTATCCTATCCATGCATACCATCCTATTAAACCTGAGGCTCTGGAATATGCTTTAGATTATAAATACTAGCAATCTTTTCCAGGTCCATTTTCCAGAGGAAATGCAGAAGCTCTGTTCACTTTGCTAAATTTTTTTGAATACATGGTTGCTGAACCGTAAGTAAGAGAACCAATACCCAGGATTTTCTATGCCTTCTGCACAGGCATTTTTGCAAACATGGATAGCATCCCCATCATTATGAGCACTGTTAGGTTTTCTTATCACTACAGAAGAAGCCTTTAGAGGGTGTACACCATTTTCAAGAATGTTGCAGTGTTCAGTGGACATTTGAACAACTTGCAAGCACTTAAGAATACAAATATAGAATGCAAATATATGATAATGAACATTACAGGTAGAGCAAAAGTTGCTGTACCTGTCACAGTGACCCTCTCTATGTACTCAGCCCTGGTTTTCAAAGATCACTCTAGAAACAATTTAAGATTTCATAGCTGTGTGCAAAAGATTTCAGGAGGCAGTGCAATCAATACTTTTATTTAGCTTCTGACCCACAGGCAATAACATATAATAAGGAGCATAGTATGTTACTGTGGAATACCAGTATACTGTGATGATTTATTGCTGGTGGGCTGAAGACCAAAAATATTTGGTTAAAATACATAAAAGGGTATTTTAGTGAATTACATAAATAACCACATCTAAATACAAACACTTTGTGTTCAAACCCCCCATCCGACTACCCTAGTGCATGAAGAGTATTAATACATTATATTTTTTAATACTCTTTAGTATCCCATGGCCTCTGGGATACTTCAGTAAATGCAAAATATACTGGCTCAGTTTCAGGATAGTACCTGGGTGCTATTTCTGTGTGTATGGCAGCAGGACTTCCTGAAAAATACACCTTTTTTCTTTGTGGAGATAGTTTTTAAATCTTCAAACACATTTTTGACCCCTCCAGTTCTTATTTATAAATGTTCTCATTTCATAAGTGAAGGATTTAAATTTTTTGACCACCCACTCAATGCAGGGTATGGCTGCTCCAAGAAAATAGAGTTAAATTATGAGTTTCTAGGCTTCATTGTTTGCAATAGCATGCTCATATTTATTAAATATAAAAGAGATAAAAAAAAACAAATACAAATGCATCTTAAAATTTAGAGGGTATATTGATAATGTTGGCGGGTTATCAGGTATTCTTTTAAAATCTTTCCTGTTATGTACTTATTACAAATAATGTATATTTAATTGTATATAATCTACTGAGACATCCTCTCATGTTAGTGGGTTGAGAGATTCATATAATGCCATAAGACTGTTTCACTTACTTTATCCATAAAAAGTACGGAAGGGAAGATGGAATCAGTGCAATATTTCAGGGCTTCCATGAATTTTACTGACATTTTATATTCATACCTTTACATATTGGGGGTGGATGACTCCATTGTCTATTAGCCTGACATTGTGCTTTTGTTGGCCCTTGCATAATATATCCAGTATTACAAGAGAATGTCACAACATCATTGAAGTTGAAACCATTTCCGCTTGTTCTTCCATAAATTGGACTACCAGGATGACCACAGCTAACAGCTAGCAAAAAAAAAAGTGACAGAAGTATGCTGTTACCACTCTTCATGGCACTGGGTAACAAAAGGTAACAACCTACTATATGCTAAGGTTCTGATCCTATGCAATACTAAGTATCGTCTTAAGAGTCATTAAAGATCCATCAGTTCCTTTGACTTTAATATAAATACAGAAGTTCAAAACCTTTTAGGTAATTCTCAGTATTTTGTGGGGTTATGTCCTTATTTCTTAGATGTGACAAAAGCCAAGTGAACAAAAAATACCCCTTCCCCCTGCTTGGTTTTTATTGAAAAGCAGATTTTCAAACATAAAACCAAACTTTACAATTTTTAGACTGGGTTATAGTCACTAGTCAAGGAAAACAACTAATATAGAATAAGAATGCCCATTCATACAAATAAACATTTTTTTATAAAGTTAAACTAAAATGTTATGTGAAAAACTTAACATATTCTTATTCTTGAATCACTTGCTCCATATATTTTTTTTTCAAATTCTCATTATACCTTATATATCAGGTATAACTGGTCACATAAGTTACACATTTTTGTTTATCATTGGGCAGGTGAAACTCTGTATAGAGTGAGGACACCAAAGGATACAGTTGGAGAGCACATTAGCATACAGGACATACCAGTATCAATATCCTTGCCATAACAGTTTGTGAATATATACACCTTCAGTCTTGTGACCAAAATGCCTGTTCTTAATAATGGTTATGATGAAACAAAAGATGGTGAATCAAAAAGTAACTCAGAAAATGTCTGAACAATTTCTTCTAATATTCTGTAATGCTGAGACATTACAGACCAAATTCTCCCAGATTAATTTAAAACATAAATTCAAAATACAGAGTATGGCTTAGACCACAGAACCAAATAAGAGCTCAGCAATTTTTAGAATTTAGTTTGAAATTGGAGTACTTTATAACATTTATTTCCTAATTTTTCCTAAATTTAATTAAGTTTTATTAACCTAGGAATGGTATTAATTGATTTCTTCCTTATATGCTTGTTACTCCAACTCTAGGATAAACACATTTATTGACTGCAAACAAACTAAAGTTTTCTATCTTAAACTACTAAATTATAATGTTATAAAAGCCTTTGTCTGTCTGTCTGTCCGTAATGCTTTATTCACACACTGATTGGTTGTCTAAAACAATCAATCAGAGTGCTCCAAGAGTATTCCTGACAGAGGGCAGTGGCAGCTGCGCAGTAGTGCCCGGAGCAGGGGGGCCAGACCAGGGCCGGTGGCCTCGCTCCCCCCACCCTGCCCCTGCCCCTGCCCCTGCCCCTGCCCCTCCCCTGCCGGCCCTGGTCCCAGCAGGTGGCAGCACAGGGTGCTGGCTGAGGAGGATGGAGAGGACAGTGGGGAAAGTTCCCCCCCCCCACTCCTCGGAGACAGCAGTTGCGTGGGGTGGTGGGTGGTGGCACTCTGTCCCTGCCCGCCCTCCCATCATTCCTGATGGGCAATTGGCTAGTAGATAAATAATAATGTAGCCTTCAAAATGCTCTTCTTGCAGAAACCTTTAAATTATAGCAAACAACATGAACAAAGGTTGACCCGAATCCTACATGGTTTATTTAAGTCAGTAAGTATATCACCTATATTTGGGATGCTATTTAGGGACTGGTTATATAACATCAGCTGACATAAGAGATGAACAAATTAGCACTGTTAACATACTGATAGTGGATATATATGCTCACCTGAATATGAAGATTATTTTGTATACTCAACATTATGGTAAAAATGCCGCGTAACAAAAAAGTAGTATGAAGTTAGCAGGAAGTTTTGAAAAGTAAAATAAAGAAAGGCAATGGACATTTAACCTTATAAAGTGTTAATAAGAAAATATCTGTCTATGGTACTTGAGCATTTATCAATTTCATGGATTTTTAAAGTAAAATAGGTCCTTTAAACTTTGGACCTATACTAATGGCATTTAGAAAAAATATTGTCATGTTATGGACATCTGCTGTGTTTAACGTATCTTTCATCACTGTAATCCTTCCCTCAAGCTCCTTACCCTTTTATGGAATACTGTATTGCACAATTCCCCTGTGTTCAACCAAGCAGCTTCCATAATTGGTTGCAGAGAAATAAACTATGTTCACCTTCTCTGCTATTAGCAATGACCCAGAAGCAATTATTTTTCATTTCTATTGTTGATGTTAACCTAATGATTTAGAAATTCTTGTTTAACTATATCTCATTCTTGTTTTAAAGATTATCAATAAAGAAACTTGTTCCTTAATGTCCAATACTTACTTCCAATCTTAAATTTAACAAGAAAAGTAGTGGCAGTAATCCACTGATGAATGATTAAAAATAGGAACAGACAGAGCAAAAATATGAGAAAGAAAGTAAAAAAGCATTACTTTCAGAATCTTCAAGCAGATGTAAAATGAATGAAAAACAAGCAACTCAGGTAGTGGATTAAGGAAATAATTGATTGCACTGTAATATTCTGGGGTAGTTTACAACTATAAATTTCTCTTATAAAACTCTAGCTATATGCAGTAACACATCTATTAATTTCAATATACAGACATCTAATCATCTCTAATTATAGAACTGAAATTAGCTTCTTTTCAGAAGACACCATTATTAAAAAGAACTGGAGTACCAGCATTTTGCCACCTTGTCCTTTCAGTACAAGTCGACTGTATAGGTTACCTTAAACAATAGGTCAGTACAGTTAACATATGATAAGATTTTTGTTTTTACACCACAGTTATCCAGAAAATAAAATAATATAATTAAAATGTAACTGTTTATTGATGCAAACACTTCAATATTCAAAGATGGCAATACAGAAGTGAAACTGAACTCTTGATCATGGTCAATATTAAATACAAGTTAGAGGTTTTCAAAAGCACCCACACACCATTTCCAAAAGTTACACTTAGGCTAAGTATAGACAGTCAAAAAGCCCATGGCTCATTTGATTCAATCTTCAGAGGTTAGTCTAAGCTGCAGAGATTGAATCAATAAGCAAGTGAACAAACATTCACTTTTGATTCCAGAAATGTAGCCATGTACCTGCAGTGCCCCAAGCCAGACGCTGGGGGGGGGGG